TCTCGTGGTATACCCGCCTTCGGCGGGGGTTAATTGCTTAAGTAGAAACATACCAAAAATGGAACTTTTGGTAAGAAACAAAATTGGGATAAAACTGTTTCATGTATTGTAAACACTAGTAAAATGTTTTACATTCAAATCAGAAGAACAATCACCTTCACGTATGACACAGACAAGGTAAATAAAAATAAATAAATAACACATAGGACACTGAAATTAAGATTACACATTTATGCATAACACTTTTTTTTAGTTGGGGAGTAAACTGTTAAAAACACACATTTATTCAACTATACTAGTACTACTTGTTAACCTTCCCTTCCATCTTATTCCAGGAATGAAATACAACGATTAAACATAACAGCAAATAAACCTAAAAAATTTTGAATATTCCTATTTAAAGTAAATACAGTACCTTGATATAATGATACTTCCACTTGTATATGTAACGAGTCAATACTTTATCTGAACTTTCACATTCTGCAGTTATAAATTGTCTGCAACAGACACACATCAAAGCTTTGACATTGCAATAAATACAATTTTTTGAATCAATGAGAGTTTAGACAGAACTTTACTAAGGATGTCAGGGTATTATGGAAGGGTATTATGAATCACATGAAAGAAAGAAATGAAATTATCAAGAAAAATATGTACCGTAAAATCTGTATTAGAAGCCACATCACTAATAGAAGTCGCACCCATTGTTTTTAATAATTGAGAACCAAAAATTCATCATTTCTCATATGTGTAGATGCTCTAATAGAAGTCACATCCCTCTGTTGCATTGTACCATTTTAATAGAAGCCGCGGTTTCTAATATAGAGTTTACAGTAATGCACCTTTATGTACTGACACATAGCAATTAGGATCTGCTGTTTTTTGGATAACAATAACTTATGTTGGCAGTTACAATTTATTTTTACAGAAACACAATTAACTGTAGCATAGATAAAACATTCATTTTTGTGTCAGTTACTGTGAATAGAAAATCTAAATAATGTATGTAAGAACCTATCCTACCTAAGCGAATCTTCTACATAAGTATACTCTGATGCAAGTGAGTCATAAATTTCCACTAACTGCTTTTGAACATCCATTCGCTGCAATGAAAATTGAATAGATGGCATAAGACCTTACATATGTTAATAACATAGTCCATATTGCAATTAGAGGGAAATGTTATTCATACCAAAAATAAAGATTGCTAGCAGTCAACCATTTTTGACCCGATTGTGAAACTAATTGTCATGGACAAGTAATCTAAAATGTACAATGTATGTATCAAATTTGAAAAAGGCAGACAAAGCATTTATAAGATGCCACATTTTCAAAAAACAAAATGGCTGCGGACTGAATCAGTATACCACTGCATGTGCATATGTCCCAGATAAAGTACTAGGCACATGCAAAGAATGAACAGATTTGGTACACAGGGTTCTGAAATTTTACTTTGGCTGAACGGAAGGATGGATGGACAGTGACCGAATTATAACTTTGTTCGAACAGGAACTAATACAAGTGACCTTGCGGCCTGTAGAGCTCCGCTGAAATTGACAAGTGCTAAGGGCAGTGGCAGTTTCTAAGTGGATAGGAGAAGTGGAATCTATGACAGTTTAGTAATTGTGGCAATAGTCAGTGGAAGTCCCTCCCACCCTCAATGTTCAGTATCACCCATATAAAAGCAGCAAATGTATAAACCTTGAAATAACCTTGACCTAACTTGAGCATTTTTGGAAAACATTAGCCCATCCAGTTCATTTTCCAAGACAATGTGTTCTGAGAAAGTTGATGACACATTAAAAATTAATTCAAAATTACAAACAAAAAAAACTATGAATATTATTAGAGAATTAATATGAACAAATTTCAACCCAAAATTAATCGGGCCTGTCTATTGTCCTAGAGCATTTATGTACCAAATTTTATTCAAATGTGATGATCAGTAAGTGAGATATCAGTGTTAATTAATTATGTTTATAAAGTGATTAATAAGCATAAATATTTACCAAAAACTAATTGGGTCTCTGCATAGTCCTAGGTTCATTGAAATGTGATGAATACTCTTTAAAAGTTTCATTAAAAATCCAATTAGTGGTTCTTTATATATCAGTGGAACATTCATGGGAAAAAAATAACTAATTATGCAAATTAGATAATTAATATCCACA